TTTTTTTTTTTTTTTTTTTTTGCATTCATTATATATTAATGTGTTTTTGCCTCCTTCTTTTCCTTTCAATTTCCGTAGGCTCCCTAAACAGATTTAAAGTTTTAGTATAATTTCTGCAAATGCTGTTTAGCCAAATGATACGTTGGGACAGGGAGAGAACAAAGCTTCACATTGTCAAGATTGACGGAACTACCAATCAAAGGGTTCTTCTTTAATATGCTTCATATTTCTTAGAAGAAATATCCCAGGGAGTTCTTTGGGAGAACGATCACATAAATTCACTTTCTGAGTTGATCATGTTGGCATTTCTTGAAGAAGCCGTTGGTTTTTGAAGTTAAGGAATTTGCAAGTATTTTTGGAGGACAAGTTTCTTTCAGCAACCTAGGCATGGTGGGCACAGCTACCATTCGCTGTGAGTGAGTAGGCATGATGAGCATACCTAGCATTTTAACTTTTTCGCATTTGGCCATTTTAATGTTCCTGCCCCCTTTTTTAATATTTATAATTAATTTTTTCCTTTAGGAATATGAAGTATGGCTGGGTGAAGGATATGGTTGTTTGTAATAGTAGGCTTATTTGGAAAAATTAGACTGTTTTGAAGGAGATTTTATGTTCATAGAGATGATTACTAAAATTTTTTTAAAATATTTTAAAATTATGTTGTCTAAAATCCTTTGGTTCAATGGTTTAGGAGGATGAGTATTTAAGGGGCTAATATGATTTTTGGTTTCTATCTCATATGTGATGTTAGAATTTACATTTTGTATGCTATAATACTTTTAGCATTTTAACATGATAATCCAACCATGTTTGATTTTTGATTTATTTCTAAAAGTTATAATTAATCTTAGTTTTGCACTCCAATTTCTTATTAATCAAAAAAATATATCTTATCCATTTGATAACAATGTTGTCAAATAATTATCTATGATTGTAGAGGACATCACAACAAAAACTAAACAGTAAAAGAGATTAATAAGGTTTTTTTTTTAACTCTTTCTAGGCTTTGTCAATTTTGGATTGGGAGTAGTTAGTATAATTAACTTCACATCATTTTCTTGATATGATTCTTTTAAGGATAATTATTATGAAAAAATAATTTAGGGATA